CCTGTTGCCATCGAGGCGAACCGGATTCGATTCCGGACAGAGGGCGGGAGTGGCACCTCGGGTCACGGATGGTGTTGAGAACTCAGCGTCGAGATCGGTGCTTCCATACTTGCGCCGGAATAGTTGGGAATTACGGAATAACTACCTTGCCAAGTTGAACTGCATGCTGAACCGTATAGTCGCTGCAGAGTCGTGGAGTGGGCAGCTCTGTCTCATCTCGCACCCAAACAACTCAGAAGGAGACAATTTTCAGCAAGGAGATAGTAATTGTTGAGGAAAACAAGTTTCTTTTCGTCAACAGTTAGACAAAGAGCAAACAGCCACAAACAAACCGTATAATCGTTGAACCCTCGAATGGCACCCCGATGGCAGTCGCGGAATGCGTCCTGCGTTCAACTCGAACGGGCTTATGTGGGTCGCCTCATGCTCGGTTAAGTTGTACGCGAAGTTGACTCCTGGCACGAATAACGGGCAGTTACCCGGCTCCCCCCGGCTAAGCACAGCTAACGAGTTGTTGAGAGTTCGCATCATACGTTCCGCGCACCCATCTCCTTGAGGGTAATATGCTGATGAGTGGACCTTGGCGATGCCGAAGTGGTCGCACAACGCTTATATTAAGGCTGACCTGCCGTATTCTAGGTCGTCGCAGATATTGCGTTCGGCGCTTCCGTTCCCCCGAGTTAACGATATGCTGGCAGCACTCCATGGCGCCCAAGATTTCTCAAGTCTAGATGCTGCGTACCACTAGACCGCCAACGCTGAAGATCTAACTCGTGGGAGGCCTGTGGAGCACGGGTTGGCGCCGTTGCTGTGTGTGGTTCGAGGGGCGAGCCATTGGAGTGAACGACTAGTTTCATCAAAAAATCAGCTGTCGGAACTCGAGCACGACAACCACATCTTAGCGTGTTGATTAGTCTTAAGTCAACGATCGCCGAAAATCGAACCCGGGATATTCTGCGTGTTATACACGAGGGGTTTCCGACAAGGTAAACGTCTTGGTCTCATTCGGCACAGTGGCAGCACTAAAATCGGCCCAGGGTAGTGTGGTGAGACTGTTGACAGTAGCGAGCACGGGTTTCACGAGGGCTTCAAATTGCATAAGGGTCTTGGACACATTGGCAACAAGGTCATGAAGGGGCTTAAGATCTTGGTGTAATTGTCGGGTGATGGGCTCTTGGTGTTACGGCCCCCCCCTACACCCGTTATGTCCCGTGGCCCTATTTTTATTTTTACTTTTTTGCAAACCCCGGAACTACCCCACAATTCACATGCCATACTTAAGAGCACTGAGAGCACAAACCCGGCCGCCACAAACATGGTGGACGACCTGCCGCGGTCCGAGACCCCAGCCCCAGTGATTACGGTGGGTTCCGGGGACGAAGGCTCAAACTCCAGAGGGGACTCTAAGGCCAAGCCCTCGAGGAAGACGAGGCACGCCCTGCCCCCCAGGACCCGCATGGCTCGTCAGCTAGCACTTGCTGACGGAGTTAATGAGGCGCCTGTGATTCATCGCCTTGGGAATTCTGACTGCCCATCCCGCGAGTTGCATCGACCAGAACCTGATACATCCGTCAATTCCCATGGTGAATCCGCTTGCGGGACTCGAATCCGCGGCCGCAAGATTAAAAAGTCTTGCGCTCTACCGACTGAGCTAAAGCGGCCACGAATTATTGTGTGCCCGTGTATGTTAGCCTTCTGGGCCTCTCCGATTTGGAGCGGGCTTGGCACCCGGGTCCATATTTTCGCTTTCCAGTAATAGAACGCCGTGTTGCCATCAAGTTTGTAAAACCCGAATGACGCCGCCAGTTCTCGGCTACGTAATAGCCGGAGTGCCCTGGTAATCGAACCCAGGACTTCTTCCACCCGAAGGAAGAATCATACCACAGGACCAAACAGCCAACTGCTGACAATTTTGGGGAACCTGCGTTACTGCTCAAAAAGAGTGATTTATTTATTTATCCCCAAACATTTCCGTCTCCCTTTTGCACCAGGGATGCTGTGGAGACGACGTCTCCCTCGCATCGCACGTCAGGGATGATGTGGTCCAGCCACGGGCATCCCGTAGGCGGATAATATTGTTAGACTTCGTGGTCTAATGGCAATACCGGATGACTCCCCACTCAAAGGTCGTGGGTTCGATACTCGTCGGTGCATATGCGCGACTCTAGACAAGACCTCCTCCGGGTAAGACTGTCCGCGGTTGCGGCGGGACAAGGTCTTCTCCCAAGACTGTACTCACACCGTAATGGTAGGACTTTAGCTTTCTGACCTGTATGTCCACAGATCGAATCAGGACTTAGCTCATTCGCATTACACTGCTGCTTCCTGTGCCTTGTGTGGACATCACGTGTCCCCGAAAGTGAGCGTTTTGTCTACCGACAAGAGTGAGATTCGGACTCACGCTGGAACATCCCAACGTCTTGGCAGGCCGCCGCCTTAACCACTCGACCACCTTGCCGGTGACTGGATACCAATTGTCCATCCGGCCACCCGTCGGCACATTTGACAGCAGCCCGACTTGATAACTGACTGATTTGATCGTGAAGAAAGACCAATTAATTAGTTGCCACGGCACTCTTGTCCAACCGCAGGTAGAACCCGGTGCCCCTGCACAGGCCCAGGAAGGTCCTCAGCTGCTCTAGGATCTCCCTTGGGTCATTTCCGCACATGATGACGTCGTCAATGTAGCAGAAGACGTCGTCACTCGGTGTCGGGGCGAAGCAGGTGTCCATTGCTCGCTGGAATCTGGCGGGCGAGTTCTTGATCCCGAAGGGTACGATATTGAATTCGAACAGGACTATCGGAGTTATGAACGCCGTGAGGTGCTTACACCCCTTCTCGATAGGCACGTTCCAGAAGCCCGAATTCATGTCCAACATTACGTAGTATTTACGTCCTGCCGCCCTCCGCAGGTGATCCCAGATCCTCGGCAGTGGGTGGGAGTCGGAT